TCGATGGTGCCGTCAGCTTTCGTCTTCACACGGAAGACCCACTTCCCGGTAAGGATAGTCTTGTTTTGTGCTACGCTGATGGGAACGATTTTCCAGGTGTTGCGCTCCTCCAGTGCCTTCAGCTCTTTGTCCATGGCTTCACGCCATTTCTCCCTATGTTCCCCCCCCAGAGCCTGTTGAACCGTCGCAGGCTCTTTAGGAATGGCGGCGCCATGGACTGCGGTGACGAGACCAAGGATTTGCAGCCCAGTCTGTGAGTATCGAGGGAGTTCTGGATCCTCGGGATAAGCTGCTTCGTCTCCCGCTTCTGGGTCGGGTATGAAATTTGGCCCTACCCTTTCTGCTTCGTTGGTGTTGACTGTCGCAGGTGTTACGTAACCATTGTCGGCGAAATCGTAGAAGACTTCGGCGTTGTTACTATCGCGAGGATTATCCTCATCCATGGGCACGTCGACGGAGCAGTACGGAAGAGGTCCGGCTTCCTCCGATGCGTTGTCGACGTTCTGCTCATCCCAGTCTGCTTCATCCGCTGCTGACGCGAAGGCTCGATCACCACGAAAACCACCGGTGAGGTCCCGATTCTCGTGCAAGTTGGCGAGGTACGTCTGAAGGGTGAGTCGTTCGTAGAAGATCACATCACGTGCTGCTACTGTTTCTTTTGTGTGGACGTCGAAGATTCTCCACGCGTTGTAATGTTTCTCGATGCCGAGGTGTAGTCCCCACTGTGCCCGTTGCGAAAATCTTCCCGCTCGTGCTTCTGGGGGTCTGTACTGTACCATGCACCCGAAGTCTCGTAACATTTTTGTGCTGCCCTGCTTCCCTGTCCACAGCAGATGCGGTGATGCGTTGTTCGGGAGTGACGACGACGACAACAAGTTGTGCAGCATCACAGCATGGTCCATTGCCGCTGGCCACTGGTGGTTGGGTAGCCGCATGCCACGTAACAGTTTGCGCATGCTGTTCTGCAGAGTCCTGTTCATTCTTTCTGCAACACCTTGCTGCTGATGTGCGTAGGGAAGGGAGAGGAGTTGCTTGATCCCCCTTTCCGCCAGGAACTGCTTGAAGCGCTGAGAGGTGTACTCGCCACCTCCGTCTGACTGGAAGCTTTTCAGTTGTGTTCCAGCCTCTCTCTCTGCTATCGGTAGCCAGGCGGCGAATGCTGCGAGTGCCATGTCGCGGCTGGGTAGGTTGCGATGCCAGACGTATCGAGTGGCGTCGTCGATGAAGGTGATGGTGTAGTTGTAGTTGACTTGTCCTGGTTCGCGATTGTAGAGGATATCGCTGTAGACTTTTTTGAGTGGTGCGTACGCTGGAGCGCTCGGGTTGTGATGTGGAGCGAACGGTCGATGAGGTAAGTCAGCTTCGGGGCATATAAGGCAAGTCCCTCGTGCCTTTTGGAGTTCTCTGCCGTCTGGTAGAAGTAGGGAGTCTTTGTCAAGAACTCCTGCTCTTATCGTGTTGTTTAAAACCGTGTTGCTTGGATGTCCTGTGCGTGCGTGCCAGATTTCTTCAGAGGCGCGGTGTCCGGGTGAACGTTGGTATGCGTCGGAGTTGGAGTAAAAACTGGCGACCAAGTTGGCGCTTCGGTGGACTTCACGTTGAGTCGGATTCAGCTGTTGTGCGGGTGTTGGTGGTGCTTCGTCGACTGTGACTGGTGTCGTTGTTCCTGCTGCTGCTGATGTTGTCTCTGCTGCTGTCGATGTTGTCTCTACTGCTGCCGAAGTTGTTGCTGCTGCTGCCGAAGTTGTTGCTGCTGCCGATGTTATCTCTGCTGCTGCCGTTTGATGAATCGTTGCTAATGCTCGTGTTCGTTCCGTTTCAGGGATAGTGTGGGAGTACCAGAAACCTCCCGGGCTGAAGTCAAGATCGAGATCCGGAGGGTGTGTCCAGTCAGTGAAATTCACGATGGCGTCGCTGTCTGCAGTGCCCAGGTCAGGAACGAAGTCGAGGACGAAGACATTGTTCTTCAATACTGCTTTCCCGATGTAGAGGCCGCCTCTCCCGTGGTATAGCTTGAACTCTTGGGTGGTGCTGTCGGCTTCCAGGTGAATCCCCTTCGCCATCAACTGGCCAACACTCAGTAAGTTGTAACCGAGTCCTTCAGCGATGAGTACCTTTGACATGTGCAGTATGACATTTGTTTCTCTTGACTGAAGCTGTACCACTCCTTGTCGTCGTGTGCGCAGGTTTTGATTGTTGGCGACCGTGATGACAACTTCTCATTGGAGTCGGTGTTCGCGTTGTACGAAGCGTCCGGACGAGCACATGTGTTGCCTGCAGCAACTATCCAAAAACCAAGTGTCTTGGCCGGACGGTTCACTTTGAGCGATGGCGGCGTAAGTCGGATTCGGGTGGAGTGATTCGCGGCGGGGCGTCCTGTTGTCGAGCTCCTCTTCTGGTGAGTAGTGGGGTGGTGACTCTGTTATGCAAGAATCGTTTATCTTGACCATGCAGTTCACTATGTTTCTTGCTCCTTGTGCAGGTTGTCCAGTTGAAGTCGTTGAAGCTTGAATCGTGGTTGTCGGACTTGCTTGTGTCGAAGCAACTTGGGAGCTTGAAGGCCGCAGTTGTCGCTGTGGTGTTGTCTGACGGGACGGGCAATGCGTGCGTGGATGTCCTGATGTTTTGCAGATGTGACAAAACGGAGGTACTGGCTTCGGCTGCTGCTGTCGGTTGTTGTAGTTGTTGTGTCGTCGCTGAGTATGGAAAGCGAACTCCGGTGCTAATGCCTTTTTCTTGTGCCTTTCTTCTTGCAGGTCCATGTCCTGCTGCTCGGCGTAGATTTCGGCGCAAAGTGCTGCTTCAGAGATTCTTCCGTGGGCTCGTAGAATTGCTTTGGTGACGCGCCACTGAGGACCGAGGCCACCGATGATGACTGTCACGAAGGCGTCTTCAGAGATTGATCCTCCGCATCGAAGAAGCTTGTCGCGCAATTCGCGACATCGGCTGATATACGCCAATCCCTTTTCTCCTGGTTTCATTTCAACTGTTGTCAATTGCGCCATTAACCTGCTCTGGTTTACACTGTCTGTTGCTTGATACAGGTTCTTCAGATGGCCGTACGCGAGTTCCGCCGAGTTGCCGAAGTTCCGGTAAGAGCGAATGTTCTGCTGCTGAGTTGGTGTGATGTTTCTCAGTAGAATAGTATACGCCATCATCGATTGATACGTATACTGCTGCTTCTCATACTGTGTGCCGTTTGCTGGATACTGCAGGGATCCGTTGAAGAAGCCGAGTATATGCGCGCCCTCCATCATTAGCTCGAATTCAAATGACCAGGTGAAGAAGTCCTTTCCGTCAAAAGGTCTTGATGTCTGCAGTTTCAAGACATGCGCGAATTGCGACTGGACTTGTAACGCGTCCATTGGTTTGTCTTGCGTAGGTGGAGGTTGAGGCAGGAAGCTGATCGACCCGCGCTCGTACGGGGCAAAGGTGGGTTGCTGCTGTTGATTCCCTCGCGCATATGACGATCCGTCAAGGCTCATGGGTGTCGCTCCGTTGTTGCTGTTGTGTGTCTGTGCAGGTCCCGACTGCTGGTGTTGCTCGTAGAAGGACATGAAGGAGAAAAATTTCTCCATCATGCTCTGGTCGAAGTCAGAAGGATGGTTCGTGGGGGTCTCGGTTGACGTTCCCCTTGGTCTTGCTGCCGTGCCTTCCTCTGTCTGCAGGCCAGAGGCTGGCGGTGGAGTAGGAGTAGTGCCCGAGGAGCCATTAGGGGAGCTCCTTTCCTTGTTTGTTGCCATGTCTTGTAATGATCTTGAAAAAAAAAGTTAGAGTTTTCCCCTATCAGCTCTCATACCATGTTGGGCTGAGAAAGCCCTTAAGGATCTTTGCAGAGGATAACTCTGGGTAGGAAATTTGTAATAGCGGAAGCGTTTAATGAAGTTTGTGAACCGGCCTTGCACTAGTGTGTGAGAGCAAAGTAGATTAAATTAAACAAGCAAATACAAGGTTTTTATATAAGAGTACAGGGAATACGAATAGATAGATAACTGTATTGCTGTTGCGATTCGATACAGTGCGACTCGGGCAACTGCTCTGTAACGAGTCAGTTGTGTGTCCTTAACTGTCGCGCTGTAATTGTCGAGTCAAAGGTCGCTGACCTTTGACTTTCCCGTAACCTCTAGGCGGTTACCCTAACCTCCGAGGTTTGACTCGATGCTTCGATTCGGACTGCTTCGCTAGTGTCTTGGGTTTTGACACGACAGAGGCGCTTTAGGATTTATTGTTCTCAACAATGAGAACGATGCCAATTGATAAGAATAAGAAAGCAAGCTTTCTCAATATGGTACATTTAGTATATTAAGGGTTAGAGATATGAACCATGTGCCAAGGGTATCTTGTAAGAGTCTGGTTAGAACACTACGGTATTGATGCAACTAACTTGACACGTCAGCTCCTTTGCTTACGGCAAGCACAGCTGCATGCCCACCCACAACGACGAGACAGTACAGTCATACCCTCCATTGAGTGACCGGAAAGGGTTAACTTTCCGCTGGTATCGAGACGCGATCAGTTTACCGCACGTGTCACCCCTCCTCACGAGGTAGAACCGACTAGTCTCACATGGAATTCCTCCTGAACCCGGCCGCTCATCCACGAGTTAACACACCTGGTGTGTGCGGGAGGGGTCAAACCACAGAATCTCTCACACTTGTGTCGCAATCAATCAGCATGCGATGGGCTTTGTGTCGCGGCGGCGCAAGAGTGTCGTTCTCAGCAATCCAACCTTGACCCAATTACTATGAGCAGCCCCAAAAGTGTGGCAACATCAACACCAAAACCATCACCAGACAACTGTGATTAATGTCAAGTGCGAGTTGGGCCCTGCAAGGCTCGTGTACCGTAATTGCAGAGAGAACTGGATGCAAGGACAGGCAGCATGTACGCATGGTGTAAGCACTCATTGAGTGGAACGACCAGCAGGATCAGCCAACAGCACCGGGCGGCGACAGGACCCAGAAAGAATAAAAAAACTGCTCGAAAAGGCTCAAAATCGCTCAACGAATGAGAACGATCCTAACCCTCACGTGCAAGTCAGCAGTGCGCACCGTGCTGAGAACAGAGTCGTCCCAGCCAGCAGCACCGGGCAGCAGGTGGTCGCAGTAGAGAGCGGCGTTGATGCGGAAGATCTTGGAGTAGCCCATGCGGCCCCGCCCGTTGCCGAACGTGGCGGCCTGCTGGCACGTGTGCAGGTCGGACTCGAGAGCCTTGTGCACCATGCATGCCGCCACGGGGTACGTGCGCGTCTTGGTGCTGTTCTCCACACACATGCGCTGCTCCCAGCATTGCGCGGCCGCAGGCGGGGGAGCGGGAGGGGGAGGGGGGGGGGGAGGGGGAGGGGGAGGGGGGTGGGAAGGGGTAAGAGGATGGGGAGGGGGAAGGGGGAGGGGGAGTTAACATAGACTATCCTTCATTGCTTCACTAATTCGAAAACAGGCAAGTAATTATGTACCGAATCACAAAGAATTTATATTGACTAATTATGAAGTCTACATGGACATAGCCACGGTAGCTTCTACATAAAGAACCACGAGAGCGTGTACTGCAAGGCAAGGGGATTGGATTTGTGGTAGGAGATTGAGACGTGATCTGACCTTTCCAGGTACGAGAGGTTGTGAGCAGTTAATGGTAGGGTTTAGGTGTGTTATGTTGGTGGCACGGAGGCTGTCTATTGACATGCACGTGTCCCCCTGGGGTGGGTGGGTACGGGCGACAGAGGGATGGATGGGTGTGAGTGCGGAAGGGGAGATGTGGGTCATGGAATTCCAATATGATTCCTTCGGGCTTTGTGACAGTGTGGATTGGATTGGCTCGCATCTGTCACCCTGAGGTGGGTGGGTGGGTGGGGTCGAGATAGATTTGGATGTGCGTGTGAGAGTGAGCGGGGGAAAAGCGAGACTTGCAATCCCAATTTGATGGCCAGGGCTTCGTGGGGGAAACGTGGGTCGCACATCTGTGATTAAAACGCGACGAAATCAAGACCGTACATTTCAACTCGACATTCCACACCCAACACAAAAAAGAGTCACAACAACAACCCCCACACCACCTTGAGCCGCATTGGAACTCGAAAACCCAAACACCTAGATCTACAAAACCAGTCACGCTATTTTAGGTCGTCGCTCTTACCTTAGCAACATTCTTGACCAAGCAAGACTTGGCGTGCCTAGTGCCCCACCTGGTTGGTGCTGTACATGCTGCTGCAGCTCTTCTTGGCAGAAGCCGACACGTTGACTATCAACCCACGCGATATGGGTTTTTCACATGCCATGCCCTGTCAAGGGATCCATAAAAGAGACAGCGTGACATTACACCAACAATCTATATGTGGTGAGTGTTAAAAGAGTTGAAGGAGCAGTACAGTCTCTGCCGGGACATCCCATAAACAACAAAGCCCCTAGCAAAGTCAAGTAAGAAAAACTAGAGCAGATTGACAAGTTCTTCTGGAGTTCTTTCAACCTCGTGAATAAGACTTGATTCGACTTGAGAGTGTTTTAATCGGAAGATCTGAAGCTCGAGTTGCCCGCATTACGAGAACGAGTAGGGAAAAAACTATCGACTTGCATGCCCATGGGTAACTGAGAGGCTTTTTTTCATCAACACACCTGACCTCATCACCACGCCTCACCTCATCACCATACCTCACCTTGTTACTCTCCAGCAGCTCTTGAGGCGAGAGGTCAAAGATGTCTAGGAGCAGAGGGCACGTGAGGTCGGGGGGTGCTGGGAAGAATGGCAGTCGAGCAGCGGAATTGCTCACTGGTGGAGAGAAGACAGGGAGAGAGGAGGGGAAGGGGGGTATGGGGGGGAAGGGAGAGAGGAGAGAGAAGCAGGGGGGCCAGAAATAGAGAAGCACAGAGGCGAACGCCATGGAGCAGAGGGAAAGCGAGGCTGCCGGGCCTGGACGAAGGGCTTCCACAGGAGTGGGCAGATGGTAAACAAGGGGTGCAAGATGGGGGGAAGTGGGGGGCTCTGTGGGGGGAGAGTAAGCAGGGCGATGGCAACACGGGTAGAGGCAAATCACATAAAGTGGTAGCCTTACAATTTTGTGTGGAATGTGCTTTTGAGGAACACGCCTCTTAGCTGATGTCAGTGCCACACTCAATCAAGGTGAAGACAAGAGGTAGGGATCGGTGGAATATTGGTGTGCGTAGCTGTAAGCTAGATCACAAGGTGGAGTATAAAGAAGAATCTCAGGGTTAAGAGGATGGGCGACTGGAAGCCGGATACACCACCTTACCTGGCTTGACCAACTTAGAGAGTCTTGCCTTGGTTACAAAGTCGCTCCAGGGGGTTAGAAGAGTAGTCGAAGAAACTGAGTCAGTGCGCACGAGGCCCTCTTGTGCACTCAACGCACAGGTGTGGTGTGCAGTGCAGGGGAGAGGAAATCACTGAAGGATCTCGCGCTCCTGGATATCGCTTCAAGCAATTGAAGTGATTCAGCTGAGTTACAGGTACCCCTGGGAAGAGGTTAGTGTACCTTGGTTACAGGGTTGCTTGAGGGGGTCAGAGTAGTCGAGGGGGAAGAAGGCGGGCAGGCAGAGGCAGAAGGAGGAGGCATCATAGCCCTCCAGGCACACGCCAGGCGCACATGTGTCAGTGCTGTTAAGGCGACATGCGGGGAACTCTGGACGGACATTAAAAAGGTGGAGAGGAATTTAGAGAGGTTAGAGGCAGTGAGATGGCAAGTGGAAGGGAACTACAGAGAGAACTACAGTGAATGGGGTGGGAGGCGGCGATGAGATGGTAAGTGGGGAGTGAGGCGGTTAGAAGTGCAGCCGCTCAGCTGGTGAAAGCAGTGGGAAGTATCAATGTGCTGCTTGATTGACTGTGCTGTGAACGTTGACCTTGATGGATTTGACGGAGCCAGCGTTTTTTACGCTAGAGTCAAAACGCCATGTGTTTTACGCTGGACGCGACCCTGCTGAAAATTGACGGTGGTTTGACGTTCTGGCGGGCAGGCCGGAAAAACCCTTTGGGCAGCCAAAAAACTACTGGGGGGGGGAGGGGGGGCTGGGAGTGGGGGGAGGAGGTAAGGAAGTAGGGAAGGCGCTGCCTCTGTAACATGCTCCTCCTCCTTCCCCCTCTCCCGTTCTTCCCCTCCCCTTCTTCCCACCGACTCATCTCCCTTCTCACCCTTCACAACTTCCCCCTTCTCCTTCCTCTCTCCCTTATGCCTCTTCTCTCTCTCCCTCTTGCTTCTCCTCTCTCTATTCTCCCCTCGCCCCCCGTCCTTCCCCTTCTCTTCTGCTCTATCCCTCTCCTCCCGTTTTTTGTGCCCTTAAGATTGTTTTTTATTTCAGGCTGCCTTAAAAATAATGCAGGCAGCGTCCATGGTCAAAACGTACGTCCAATGTCTGGAGTCAAAGCGTACCGTTTTGACTCTGGACGTAAGACCTTCCTAGTGTCAAATCGAATCCATCTAAGCCGTTGACGAGTTATGGATGTGGTAACATTTGAGGGGGTTGCAATGCAGCTGCACTCGCTGAACAGAAAGGGCACGAGCTCGTGTTGAGGCAATGGACAGGACAGGACATCTTTGGTGAGACGTGATTATAATCTGGACTTACCCTTGTCAATACCCTTGTGCACCACGCGGCGGTGATGGCTGCGTTGTCTTACCATTGTGGCACGTTTGGAAGGCGGGCATTTGGGGGAGCTTGTAGCTGGGCTGGCTGAGAGGGCACGAGCACGTGCTGCTGTATGTGCCGGTGGCTGCTGACCGCACCGCAGTGCACCTGCCAGCACCGCATGGATTCACGTCCCATGCGGTGCATGGGTTGACGTCTGTGTGACATGGGGAGTGAGGAGAGACAAGGAAGAGAGGATGATCGATGAAAGGGGAAAAGGGCTGAACAGAGGGGCAAGAAGCGTATGGAAACATTATGATGAAAGAGGAATCACTAGTTGAGTGAATAAATGGATGCACTGTTTTGTTCCCAGTTAACGATTCAAACGGATGCATGAATCTTGTGGCGCAGGCACGCTCAATCACCGGCAATAAGCGTGTGGTTAAATTGTAAACTGGGAATCAGCGGATCGCGTATGTACAGTAACATATAGCTCGTACACGAACCGTATGCCATACAATTCTTTTTTCCAACGTAGCATATTCTCACGCATGTGGCACATAAAAATAAGAATCAGGGCGTATCCCTGGGTGGTGGCAGGGCCACTGTAGATGGCAGAGTTGGTGGCATGCGGGAAAACCGCATGCCACCAACATTTTTACCGAGGCGCGCGCGACTCGTATTTGGTGGCATTGAAGTGACATTTTTGGGGCATTGCCCAATCACGCACCTGTATTCGCGCGCCAAATTTCCTGACACCAACCTGGCGTTTTATGTGTTCGTGGCAGGCTGCCATCTACAGTGGCCCTGCCACCACCCAGGGATACGCCCTCAAAGCAAGTGTGCATGTGCATACAGACAAAGAACATACGCACAGATGCACATATGCATGCAACTACAGGCGCAGATGCAATCAGGCACACACACCTAAGAAAGCAGATAATCCACGCTCCAATGGACCGTGCACATACACAGATGCCCAGCACACATTCACACACACACGCGTGGCACCCTCACCCAACCCTTCACACGAACCTGTGAATCGGAAGGTCCACGCTTTGATCGCCTGAACAGACGCAAGCGTGCTGGCACTGCTAAATCCCGCGAGCACCGGAATCACTCCTGCAGTGCTGCTATTGCCATCATAGAACACAGAGCACAGGTCAAGAGTCAGCTTCACAGGTCAAGTCACTGCCTCCAGAGTCTTAGTGGCAGCCGTATAGTCCACCCTCATGCTGTACAATAACGAGGATGAAGAGTATCTCTTCTGAGACGAAGAATTCAGGCGCTGAGTTACGTTAAAGTCAGTGAGAACGGAGAGAATCGCCACATCCTTGTTAACGTCATGGTTAGGGTCAAGGCCGCTAAAGGCATCAAACATCACCGCCACACTCCTCCCTCCATCCGCCCACGTCCCATTCGCATCCCTCCCTTGCGCGTCGCGGCCATACCCCATGTCCGTCCCTCCTTGCCCCAGCCCTGGTTGAGTACTTAGCACAAAGACTACCCCAAACCCGTTTGTCATTCTCCCGTCGAGATCAAACGCAAACCACGAGGTGAAGGATCGAGCCTTGCACACCAAAGCATCAGATTTTCCGCCATTCTTCCCCTTGCGGGGGGGAGGAGGGGGGAGGAGCGAGAGCAGGGGCAGGGGGAGGGGGAAGAAGGCGGCGCCTGTCTCCTCCTCGTCGTTGCCCGGGGTGAGTTGCAGCGAGGAGAAGGTGTGGCGAGTTGATCCCCAGGCAGTGAAGCGCGCGCCTTGCGTGAGGAAGGGGAAGGAGAGTGACGGCTGCTGCCACAGGGGTAGAGGAGCCGGCGCAGGGAGAGGGGGAAGCGGAGTGGATGAATTGGGGGGGAAGAAGGAGGGGCGCAGGGAGCACAAGGGGAAAGAAAGTGAGGAAGGAAAGAAATAGTGGAGTGAGTAAGGTTGAAGCGAAGGGGGAGGGGGCAGATGAGCAGAGGGATCTGGTAGTAGGAGAGGAGAACCACACACTACTTCTGAGACGCCTAGAGAATGGGTAGGAGAACATATGACACGTGACACACCACACCAACCCTTCCCCCACTTGCCCCACCCCACCTCCGCCTCCTTCCACTCACTGTGGTTGTCGACGTGGAAGGCCCAGGAGAGTGTGCAGCTGCAAACCTCCCCACGCAACTGCCCTTCCGCCTGCCTGCCACTCCCCCGCTCACCTTGGGTATCCATCTGGAAGGACCAGGAGAGGATGTCGTGCGTCTGAGTGTGCAGCGGCAGCAGCCCCGTGCCCGCTGCACACCCCACTTGCACCAACACCGCCTCCCCCTCCCCGCCGTTCTCCGAAGCAGAGTGAAAGAGATCACAGGCGTTGAAGGGGAGGGAGAGGAGGGCGGAGGGGGGCATGGCGGGCGAGGAGGAGAGGAGCACGGAGAGCAGCGAGGCGGTGGCGTTGTAGGCCACCCACGCATGCAGCGTCTGGTTCGCAGCCAGCGAGGGAATACCCGCGGGGTGCACGGACGCATGGCCTGCTGACGTCATGCTGTAGTCCATGTTGATCCCCACGTGGTGCATCATTGGGTCCAAAAACAGACGAGTTGATGACGTGTCAAACTCCACTGCCAGGCTGTGCTGATGTGGCAGGCTGCTGCTGCCATTGGAGCTCCTGCTGCCACTTCAACCGACCTGTTGTGAGTGGAGTGAGCACGTGTGATCCCAAGAAGCTCACCAGTGATCCCAAAAAGCGGATCACTGTGAGCGCACCTGTGCCTCTGGGAGCGACCGTGATCAGATCCACATCGATGTTCCCCGCTGCCGCTGCCGCTGACGTGAGCTCCCCACCTTCCACCGCTGCTGCTGATGCTACAGACGCACCCCCAGGCACGATCGGAGGTAAGGGAGCGAGAACAGGCAGTTCCACAGTGGCAGCAGAGGGCGTGGAGCTGCTGTCCGCCGCACTGCCCTCCAGCAGCACCAGGTGCAGCGCCACGCCTTGCGCCGGGAAGGATAGAGCAGCGGCGGAGGCGGGGGAGGGAGGGAGGTGGAAGGAGTAGGGTCCGTGCTGGCGCCAGGGCATGAGGCCCGAGAGCGAGTAGGAGTTGTTACGGCAGGGAACGCCCACGGTCCACTCATGCAGCACCATCATGTCTGCTGCTCCGCTGCTCATAGCACCTGCTAACGCCCTCGCCAGCTCGGCTTCGTCCACGCTGCTGCCAGTGCTGCCGGCCGTGGTTGACAGGGGCACGGCGACGATCATGGCTCGCATGGGCCGCAATCCAGAGACAGGCAACATGTCCATCACGCACTCGCGTGCCCTTGCATAGAAATACAGCGAAAACTCCCCCTGCTGCTGCTGCTACTGCTCTCCGCCTTCCGCTATACACAGCAGCTGCCCCAGTCCCTGCACGGGCCACACGGCCCCTTCCCTCTCGCTCGCCCCGCTGCCCCAAAGCTCGCCACCGGTGCCGCCACAGCCGTCGCTGGGCTGCAGGTGCACGAACCGACCGCCCTCAGCAGCCACGGACAGGTCCCCGGGCGGAAGCTCCCCGCCCCCTCCCCCCTCCCCCTGTACCACCCCCGCCACCTGCCCCTGCTGCGCTGCTGCGCCGGGGACAAGCGACACCCAGGCCGACAGGGGCGATGGCCAGTCCGCTGCAATGGAAGCTTCCTCGAAGCCCGCATTGCGCAGGAGGTTCAAGGAGGGAGCTGGGGGGCGGTGGGTGGGGAAGGAGGCGGAAGGGCCGGGGGGTGTGTGGGGGGGCGGGGGAGGGGAGGAGGGATGATGGAGGGGAATTAATAAGGGGAGCGGGAAATGTGACGAGGAATCAAAGTGCAACCCTGGGATCGGGTCGGGACAATCAACGAACGAACAATTTGGGAGAGGTGACAAATTTATCTGACAGAGAACGTGGGGAGGAGCAAATGGGCCGGGGGAAAGGGGGCCGGAGGGAGGGAGGAAATGGAGCGGGTTAGTGCAGCAGTAGGCCGGGAGTAAGCTGGGCGGAGGGTACTAGTGCAGCAGAGCCGCTGGTGCTGGGCGGGGGTTTAGAGCGGAGCGGGAAAGGAAGGCGTAGCGGCGGAAGGCTGGCGGCAATGGAAGGCGGAAGAGACGCGAAGATGCGGTGACTGCCGCTGGCCGCAGAAGGCGGTAAAGGCCGCCGTTCACTGCTGCTTGTGGAACCGAGTTGGTTGGGAAGTGTTGGGAGAGTTGCGGTAAGAAATGGCGAAAATCATATTTCGCGGCGGTTTTCTCATCGTATTACTGCGCGACTGCATTTTGAAGGGTCGAAGAATCGATACCTTGAGCGGCGAGGCTAGGTCATTGCAGCGAATTACAACAGTTACCGCGACATCGTGCGTGCTGCCGAGCGATACGATGCATTGACTCGAGGTCAACCCGAAACACGACGTTTCACGCCGAACTATATATTCGGCACGGAGCGATCGGCACCCCCGACGTTCGCCTAACCGATCGACATCGACAAATACGACGCGAAGCAGCAGCCGACAAAAAGCGAATTTTGCGGCGCAGCGGGGCATCAGTTTTTGTCGTGCTACAAAATGAAAAAGGCACGTGCGGCACTGCACGGCGGTAGCAGTGGAGCACCCCCGATGTCAAAAAACAAGAATCGCCTGTAGCCGCGGATCGACCTGGCGATCGCGAAAAGATCCGAAAAGCAGAAAAAGGCGACGGCGTGGCGACTTCGGAGCGGGTGAAAAAAAGGAGAAAATGATGGCGCGAATATAAAAAGTCATGACCGGCCGGCATCAGGGGAAATCGCCGAGGCGAATGGAGGCTCCGCGAAAAAAGAATCTGCACCGACCGGGAAACTCCACCCGAACACCCTCGAAAGTAAGAATTTCCTATAAAGATACTCTAACAAAAAATATTGCTTCTCGTGGTTTTCAAGCCTTTGAAAAAATCAGGGGAGATTTAGAGGCCAAGAAAAAGCCTTTAGAGATTATTCAGGTACCTGAGAAGTTGGGCAAAATACTACGGAGCGTAGAAAAGGGTCGTGCTTTCCGTGGAGTTAATATTCTCTCCCCGCAGCACCATGTTAAGGCTCCTCGTTGCCCACAGGTGAAGCCTACACAGCTGCCAAGGCTTAGAGGAAAATTCCAGGCTCCTGAGAAGTTGTACAAGCCTCGGAAAAATCCTCCTACCCCCCAGGTGAAGTTGGAAGTAAAAAGTGCTAAGTCAGGTATAGGAAATAGGGATGGTATTCATTTTGATGTAATGAGACCCTCTTTGGCTACTCAGTGCAGCAGGCACCACCACTACTCCTCGAGGTGTTATGCAAAGGACGTAGGTGCAGGGACCCGTACCCCCACCGCGCTGACGCGCAGCGTACCACTCACGAAGCTGCTGAGGGGACAGGGTCTCACGACTGCTCTGCTGTTGCTGGCGCGCACCACCACCGGAGCCACTCCTCTGCGCAGAGCCGCCACCAGGTCCACTGCTGCCGCCGCCGCCTCCGCCACCTCCGCCGCCTCCGCCGCCTCCACCACCTCCGCCGCCTCCGCTCCCTCCGCCACCGCCGCCGCCTCCGCCGCCTCCACTGCTGCCACCGACACCTCCACCCCCGCCACCACTCCCACCACCATCCCCACCCCCTCCACTGCCTCCACCACCACCGCTACCGCCCCCGCCAGCCCCTCCAGCGCCCTTGCCTCCCTTGCCCTTGCCGGTGCGGCGTCTCCCGCTCGGGGCAGACGCAGCGCCGACCGACTTGAAACCAACGAGGTCGGCCGCAGCAGCAGAGGCAACAGAGGGCAAGAGGGGGGAGGGGGAACACCCCTCAAAGACGGGGGTGCGAGGGTCACCATGAGAGGCTCCTACAGCGACAATGCTCTTCTCTGCTGCTAGGAGGCCCTTCTTGAGGAGGTCAACGGTGAGAGTGGTGGGGCAAACTGAGAGGAAGTGGTCCCGGACTACGCGCAGAGAGTCAGGGAGCCGGGTGATGTGCATGGGGGGGGGGGGGGGGTGTGAGGATCTGGGATCGAGCTCAGAAAAGATGATTCAAATTGAATTGAATGATCACCTGGGTACAACACGAGGCTATATATAGGCTCGACACAAGGCCCCGTAACCAGGTGTTACGCGAAGGTTCCGCGGGTCGCGAAGCGTCCCGAACAGATCCTTACCGAATTCGGTAGATGCAATTCGGTGGCAACCGAAAAGCCAGAATTCGGTGCACGCAACCTAGCTCGGTGCTATAACTATAATAAAGTATGGGAAAGCACCTAGCCTAGGAAATCAAGCAATTCATGCATGCATATGATTATCCTATGCTAGAAATAGCATGATAAAGTAGAGGCAAGCAAGCATAAATGGCATATGCCGTCGTACTCTCACACGTCCCCCCTCAAAGCATGGTGGCGTGAGATACACCCTGCTTGACAAGATAGTCATTGAGAGCACGGCGTGCGTGTCCCATATCAGCTTCTGCAACTCAAGAAGCACCTGATCTCCGACTGCTACTGAGTGATCACGTCGCTGACGATCGGCATACTGCTTCTGGGAGTTTTGCATCGTTGTGAGACGTCGCTGAGTCTTCTCCCATAGCTGCTGCATGGTGGTGACGAAGTCATGTGCGGCTTGGACGTATGCCGGTGTGGTTGGCTGCTGTGGTGTGAGTGGTTCCCGTCCTTAACACAGGAAGAGAGGAGTTTTCCCTGTGGCCGCATGTGATGCGTTGTTGTAAGCGAACTCTAGGGTTGGTAACTGTGTGTCCCAGTGGCTGACGTCGTCCTTGCAAGCTGTGCGCAGTAACTGTTCAACCACTTGATTGAGTCGCTCTGTCTGTCCGTCAGTCTGGGGGTGGTATGCTGAAGACATTGCAAGCTTTGTCCCCAACAGTCCCATGAGCTCCTTCTAGAACTTACTCGTGAATTTGGGGTCTCTGTCTGAGATGAGTGTAGCGGGGATGCCGTGGATGGTGATGATGCGGTCGAAGAAGAGTCGAGCAGTTGCTTCAGCTGTAGCTGTGGCGTTGGTCGGTATGAAGTGACCCATTTTGGAGAACTTATCGATCACCACGAGGATGGAATCATGTCCCCGTGAGGTCGAAGGAAGTCCTGTGATGAAGTCGAGGCTAACGACCTGCCATGGCTGCTCCGGTACGGGTAGAGGCTGGAGTAACCCTGCTTTTTTCTGCTTGCTACTCTTCATCCGTTGTCACGTGTCGCAAGAGGTGACGAACTGCTGCACGTCTGCTGCCATCCCGGGCCAGTAGTAATACTTCGCTATCCCTACTAACGTCTTGTTGCTCCCGAAATGTCCCGCGTATGGTATGTCGTGAAACTCCTCCAATAGGATCTGCCATAGCGGGGCGTAATTCGGTACCCAAATCTTTCCTGAACCTTTCCTTACAGCTAAGTCTTTCTCCCACTGTAATAGCTTCTTACTGAGGTAGGCGATGGGCTGCAAACTGCGTTCGTGATGCTGCATCAGTACTGCTCCGACTGCTTGGTCACTAGCGTCTGCTTCCACCACGTAGTCCCTGTCTGGATCCGGTAGGATGAGTACTGGCGCTGTAGTCAGTGCTGTCTGTTTGTTCAGTGCGCGGTAGTCGATGCACATCCGTAAACTACCGTCTGGCTTTGGAGTGAAGAGAACTGGTGCACCGTAGGGAGAGGTGGATGGGCGGATCAGTTGTCTGTCTAGTAGATTCTCAGTCGGTATGGTGCACGTGAGACGGGTTTCGCACCTGGTTCCCCCACGATCTCGTGCTCGTGGGTGCGTGCTGGAGATACGCCTGTGGGTAGGTCGTCAGGCATTATATCCTTGTACTGCTCCAACACCTCCTCCTCTGCTGCTGCTACAACCAGTGCTAAGTAACCCGTGTTACTCTCGTTCACTGTCCGTTCGAACCGTGCCAGTGTCGTTTCAGGAAAGCTCCTTGTATCCGTCAAGCTTCGCAGCTCCACTCGTTTCCCGTTGTTGTAGATGCACATTTTCCGGTTGACCCAGTCGATCTAGGGGTTGAACCGCTTCAGGAAATCTCGCCCCAATATAAAATCTAATCCCTTGATGTTCGTGATCGGCAACGTCGGCTTCCACCTCAACGCCCCTATCTGCAGCTGCAGTCTTGACTTTCCGTGGATGGGAAGCTTCGTACCGTCCACCATCGTTGCTGTAAACTGGGTTTCTTCTTATGATTCTCCAATTTTCTCCAACGTCCCGCGGTCGCACACCGACTGGGACGCACCACTATCCACCAGGGCCTGGAGGCGACGCCCGTTGCAGATCACCTCGAGTACTAGTGGTTGCTGCTGCTCCGAGTATCTGTAGATGGTATCGCTTATAGGATCGTAGGGTACGTCGAATATGTTATCCATAGGTCCTGCGCTCAAAGATGCAGCTTCAGTATCAGTTTTCAACTGAGAAGGGTTAGAAGGATTTATCCGAGGCCGATTCGGCTTCTCTTGGGCCTGGAACCTTCCACTAAGCCTTTGCAGCTGTGTAGGCTTCATCTGTGGGGAACAGGGAGCCTTTAAACAGTGCTGCTGGGAGAGAATATTAACTCCTCGGAACGCTCGACCCGTATTAGCGCTCTGGAGTAGGGTCCCCATAATACCCGGTACCGGTTTAATTTCTGACTCTCCCTTATTAAAGGCTTGAAACCCTCGAGAAGTAATATTCTTACTTGTCGGGGTATACGGCTGGAGTTTCCCGGTCGGTGCAGGGTCTTGTTTCGCGGATCCTCCATTAGTCTCGGCGATTTCCCCTGGTGCCGGCTGGTCGTGACGTTATAAAATTTGCGCCACCATATTCTCCTTTTTTCGCCCTCTCCGAAGTTGCCACGTTGTCCGTTTTCTGCTTCGGGGGTGCCGCACTGTTCTTGTCCTTCAGCTCCGCACACCTTCTCTCCATTTTCCAACACGCCAAGATACGATGTCCTGAAGCGCCGCAAAATTTGCACTGTTCTTGTCCTTCAGCTCCGCACACCTTCTCTCCATCTTCCCTAAACCCTGGCATTGCGTCTTTTGTCGGGGTCGTGCATCTAACGGCTTCGAAGTAAATTTCGAGTGCAGCTACAAATTGACGAACGTCGTTCCTTTTTACTGTAGGATCGAACGCCTCTGGTAGCCTCAGCTTCACTGATTCGAGGTTAACTGTAGCTGCTGCCGTTGTCGCATGTAGAATTGTTGGTGTAGCCGCTGCTGCTGCTGCTACTGTTGTCGCTGCTGCTGTGGCGGTTGCCGACTGGTTCGCAAGGAGTTTTTCGAGTCGTGGGAGCGCTGCACGTATTTGCTTATGCTCTGCATGTAACTCCGCGATTTTCTGTACTGAAATATCTCCTTTTCCCTCCATTTGGTGATTTACAGGAAGATGCGCGACGAAAATAATCGAATTCTAGGTGCTGGTCGACTTACTGCAAGTCAAATTGACTGTAGAATCGACGAGCGCGAATTCTGTAGGTTGCGTAAATCTCCCTTAGGCGAAATTCGCGTCCGATCTTGGCCGTTGAGGAGAAAATCAATCCGACGTTCCAAATTCCAACTTTTTTGGGCGAAATTCTCTGGGCCGTTGAGATGAAACTCGATCGAACGGTCGAAACTCCAACCTTTCCACCAGTAAATCTGAGGGGTGTTCGAAAACCGAATCGAGGGGGACTTAGAAAAATTGCGCGGAACTGGTTTTACATACCCGTATCGGCGCTTTCGTCGTCGCCCCCGCGGTTTTTTAAGGCCGGAACTATGCGGTTGAAGACCTCGCGTGTAAACCCGCTCTGATTACCAAGTGTGAGGATCTGGGATCGAGCTCAGAAAAGATGATTCAAATTGAATTGAATGACACCTGGGTACAACACGAGGCTATATATAGGCTCGACACAAGGCCCCGTAACCAGGTGTTACGCGAAGATTCCGCGGGTCGCGAAGCGTCCCGAACAGATCCTTAACGAATTCGGTAGAAGGCAATTCGGTGGCAACCGAAAAGCCAGAATTCGGTGCACGCAACCTAGCTCGGTGCTAAAACTATAATAAAATATATGAAAGCACCTAGCCTAGGAAATCAAGCAATTCATGCATGCATATGATGATCCTATGCTAGAAATAGCATGATAAAGTAGAGGCAAGCAAGCATAGCTGGCATAAGCCGTCGTACTCTCACAGGGGGGTTCTTCGCGCAGAATTCAGCAGGAAGCGCAGCGCGGTAGCGAGTGTCACTAGTGCGGAGGTGCGTAATGAGGTCAGCGACTGTGGGAAAGGCAGCAAGGTCAGGGAAGAGGTACGGTAGCATGAGGCGGCTCAGTGCAGTAGTGGCAGGGGAAGAGTAGCGTGCAACTACAGCGTCGTACAAGGTCTGAGCACTCTTGTACTGACTAAAGTGTGCACGCTTAGTGGTCGGTAAGTGGCGGCGCACAGCAAGGCGAGCAGCAGCATCGCGCGTGGCCCACTGTGAGCGAACAGTGACGTCAGCATCAGCAGCAGGGGCAGGAGAGGCACCAGAAGTGAGGTCAAACAGGGAGAGACCGTCTGCCCTATTGCACTGTAGGAAAAGCTGCAGATCATCTACCCAGACCTCAAAGTCAACTGCCCGACCCTCAGCGTCAAAGGTGAGAACACTAGGGGTGGCCATGACAGCAGTAGACAGGCAGTGAGTACAGTGGGGCAGGGCAGTGCAGTGGCATAGGCGCTGCTCTTGCCAGGCAAGTGAGGCGGTCCCGGGCAGGCCGACAGGCGGCGGCGCCTCGGCTGCAGTGCGGCTCGGCGGCTCGGCGGTTCGGCGGCAAAGGCGGCTCGGCGGCTCGGCAGCAAAGGCGGCTCGGCGGCTAAGCTGCTCGGCGGCTCGGCGGCTCAGCGGCTCGGCAGGTCGGCGG